CCCAGTTTTGTCTTCAAATGCACATGAAAATAAGCCTACAACTTGGAGTAGCAATGTATTAAAATAATGCATTTATATGTTCTTTTTCATGATAGCAGAATATTTAGACCTGTAAAGCACACCATGTACAATTTCATTTTTTTCTTCTTTGTAACATGTAAGTGTCCATTGAAATACATCCAGTGAGTGCATGTTGCATGACATCTTCAAATTTCAATTAAATTGCAAATGCGTCTGTGCCAGCCAGTGCTCGGGGCAGCCACCAGGTGTCTTCGACTGATAACATCCGCTCCAGAACACAGAAGAATGGCATATTCGGATTCATAACAAAAGTGTCTTTCCCTTTTTCAGCGTTTGGTCATGAAGGTTCTTGTGTTTGGGATGGATTCAGAGATGATCTGGTCTTGGGTCGGTATTGCTACAGTATCTTTGTGCTTCGACTGAAGCCCCAGGTTTTCTCGGTGTTTCGGGTGTCCACAGCGACTCGTGTCGCATGTCCTTGTTCTACTGCATAGGTGACATTCACCAGCCCTCATGCGCTGAGATATTACATTGCCTGAAAAACAGAGCCATTTGAAATGTGTAAGAGTGGAGAAATATTCTGGAGCTTTCTGAAATATTGCTGGGTCATATACATCTTCAAGCCAAACCCCCTCATATGTCTTAAAGGGATAGTTCACCCAAAAATGAAAATGTGATGTTTATCTGCTTACCCCCAGGGCATCCGAGATGTAGGTGACTTTGTTTCTTCAGTAGAACACAAACGAAGATGTTTAACTCAAACCGTTGCAGTCTGTCAGTCATATAATGGAAGTGGATGGGAATCACGGCTTTGAGAGTCAAAAAAAAACATAACATACACAAACATTTTCACGAAACGATCGGTCTGTGCAAGAAACTGAACAGTATTTATATAATTTTTTACCTCTGATCCACCGCGATGTTCAACTGTCCTGAGCGCGCTCACAGCATCCGGCGCGTGCCGTCAAATAAATACGGTCGGGCAAAAAAATTCCACGTTGTCTGATGATATATCAAAATCTGCACTGTGTAAATGAGTGATGTATACGCGCGACAGATCGCTTCCGCACATGCGTCTACTATCATAGATATGTATAGATGCCCTATTCGACCGCTCCAGATACGTTGACGCGTCCGCCTTACCTCTGATCCACCGCGATGTTCAACTGTCCTGAGCGCGCTCACAGCATCCGGCGCGTGCCGTCAAATAAATACGGTCGGGCAAAAAAATTCCACGTTGTCTGATGATATATCAAAATCTGCACTGTGTAAATGAGTGATGTATACGCGCGACAGATCGCTTCCGCACATGCGTCTACTATCATAGATATGTATAGATGCCCTAT